ACAAAAGCCCGGGGGTATTGACATCTGTCAAGTCGAGCCCGAGCTGAAAAGATCCACTCCATCACCAGCGGGGGTCCACCCACTCTAACCCACCAGCGCGTCGCGATAGAAACTATATAAAGGGCGCCATGCCCACCCCATCTGCCAAGCATGCCAGATTGCATTTGACCGTTGCGGCGGCACCAACTGGGCCCTGACTGGCCCATCTCCATCTTGTTCAGCCTCTCCCGCACCCACTCTATTTCTGTCTCACTCATACATTCCCCTTTCTCCCGTACTCCAGGAGCTTTCCCGTCATGGAGTATGCTTCCAAGTTCTTCGGCGGACCCGCCCAGGCCACGGCCTGGGAGATGATCGGGCATCAGCTAAAAGCGCCGGTACGCTACCAGCTGCTGTGGATCGCCATAGTGTTCTTCATCGTCTACTCGATGATGCAGTTCGTCCGGTATCGTCGATCGGACTGGTTCGCCCTGCCCGGTGACTTTGAGTGGCCGCTAATCGGCAACTTCATCCAGATGTACGGCCCGGCCAAGGAATCGCGCCAATTTAAGTACATCAGTCCCGCCTTCCGCCGCTTCGGGCCGATTTTCCGCTTCCGCGCCTTTGGCACGCGCCTTGTCTTCCTCGCAGATCCTGAGGCCGCAAAGATCGTGTTCACTTCGAAGGCGTACCACAAGGGCCCTGAGCTGCAGCAGGCGTTTGTGGGCATCAACCAGTATGGTCTGCCGGTTCTTCCCGACGGCGCGACCTGGAAACGCCACCGCCGCAACTGTCAGCCGGCGTTCAGCCCGGCTTCGCTTCGCCTGGCATTCGCTGCGGCCAACAAGCACGTTGATCACCTGAGCCATTCGCTCCGCAAGGCGGCCCAAGCCACGGGCCAGGGCACAGTAGTCATGAATCTGAAACGCATCACGCGGTCGATTCTGACGGATGTGATGGGCGATGTTCTGCTTTCGCATTCCTTCGGCCGCACGAAAACGCTATTCGATGCAAACGGTCAGCCGGTGAACGAGGAGGACGATCGTGATGAGATCCTTGATGTCAAACGCCTCTTTGCCCCCGTGGCCGTACGCATGGTCACGCCAAGTTGGATGTGGCGCGTGCTGGGTGCCGACGCCGACACGGCGGCGCGCGCGGCCGCCCCCCTGCTCAACCTCGCCACCCGTCTGTACAACATCAAACGCGCCCGCCTGGAGGAAGAGAAGCTGAAGCTGATTGAAAAGGGTGAAATGGTGATCCCCCGCGGCTACTATCGGCACCATGCGCAGGCCGAGAACAGCGAAGAGACTGCGCCTCGCGACATGGTCAAAAGTCTGGCGCCGGATGCGACGCACGACATGCTTGACCGTCTGATTGAGACCGAAGCTTTTGACGACGAAGAGCTGATTGATGAGATCTTTGCCTTCATGCTGGCCGGGCACGACACCACTGCGAGCGCGCTGCTGTTCCTGATATTTGAACTCGCTTCTAACACACCTGTGCGTGAGCGCCTGCTGCGTGAGATTGCCGAGGTGGTAAGCCCCGATGTGGGCGCGGCCGCATCGCACAGCCAGATGACCTATGAGCACCTGAGCCGCTTGCCCTACCTGGACTGCGTTATCAAGGAACTCTTCCGGGTGCACCCAGTCACCCGCGACATTGTGCGGACCGTGCGTGAGCCGACCGTGCTCATGGGATACAAGCTGCCCGTCGGAACCACCATTTCAGTGCAGACAGCGGACCTCAACATGGATCCCCGCGTTTGGAAGAACCCGAAGACGTTTGATCCCGACCGCTTTGCTGACGGCGCACCACTGCAGCAGAAGACGATCGTGTTTGGCATCGGTCAGCACGTTTGCATCGGCGAAAAAATGGCCATTGTGGAACTTAAGGCGGCCGTAGTGGCACTCCTGCGGCAATTCACCTTCCGTGTCATCCCGGGCCAGGACATCGTGCCCATTAACTCCATCACCACGACGCTTGTCAATGGTCTGATGGTGGAGATCACCCCACTATGATGCGATATAAGGCCGCACTTCGGATTCAGACATGTTAGCTAATATAAAAACGATTCATATCATTCGCGACCGTCTTACCACGTGGCACCTTTGACTCTATTCCATCACAATACCAACCCACTGTCGCGTCAAATGGATTACTCTGATCGTGAAGCCAAAACTAGGCTTGTTGCACATCAGTGTGACTTGTCACGGCCCAGCGATTGCTGCTGCGCTTCGACGCATGGCCTTTTGATGTGCTATCAAACCGTCACTCATGAGTCTACATCGTGAGATAGGAGCGAGAGATGGCTTCCTCGACAGGCCGCGGCTGCTGAGCGAACAAAGACTTTCAAACACGGCCACGGCGCATGTGGCCAGCTGCTCTGACCCACCAACGCAGCACACGTGTGTTTCGAGGTCTTCTCATACCCTCGTATCAGCCTGTCGTATCCTCGTAGCAGGCATCCCCAAGACGGATCACACGACGCGCTCGCCCATTGCGATTGACGATACCGCAGCCTCCGATGGCCAGCACTATGCGAAAATCGCCGAATGCGGCGTGTCCACGGGCGCATTCGCACCCTGAGAGGGCCGCTGACCGGGGACGACATGATTGAAACATGAGATCAGCGCGTCGGAGGAAGCGCATCGCAGCCACGCGGCCGACGCCCGCGATGCCACGCAGTGAGCGAACAACGCCGAACCCACGGTGGCGACGGGCGAGCAGGTGTTCGGCTTGGTGACGGTTGGCGGAACCAGCGACGACCACAACGGCGAGGCCTGGAACGGCCCCGTTGTCAGCACGTCCCCGGCTGGCGTCTCGAGATAGTCATACGATGATCCCGACGATACGGCAAGGCTCGCTGCGAGGGTTTTAAGCTCCATGATTACGATATGCGCGAATCGGCTGAACAGGGGTTCGGTGATGCGACGAACCAGCGACCGAATCGAGCAAGTTGATGATGTCTGAACACTCAACACCCAAGGCGACACCTCGGTCGCTGGCCCATAAAGCAGTGTGGCGCTTGCTGGCGAAAGCGGACAAGCGAGGGTTGATTGAGCCTGTTCGAGTCGACGGGGTGGCATTAAGGATCAGCAGCAGATGAGTGAGAGCCAACGTTCGGTCTATTGACGGATGGCCATGAACAGATCAACTTACTGAAGCGCCACCAGGAGCAATCAGCACCGCACGCGGTGACAGGGCGATCGGGGCACTCAAGCCGACTACAACGACAAGCACATCGGCCTTGGTCGACAAGGACTGGTCCAGTCGACTCGAGTTCTAAGGCAGCAAAAAAAAAAACACATATATACAACTGATCGTGAGTTCATGACCGATGAACAGGAGAGGCTCGGAGCCATGTATCATGTGCTTAACGCCTGGTTTCCGATACGGGTTCAAAAGGAGTACATGGGGATGCATGATCCAGCATCACAACATACCAGCCAGACGGGAGTCAGATCGCCATCTTCTTGATGGCATTTCTCGGCCGAGACAAAGAACTCTTCTTCGTCGATGATATCATACTCAGAGACCCGCTGAGCGCGTCCCCACCACGGCATCCGCATTATGCAGTATATCGCCGAGTTTGCAACAAAGACGGCAGGGAAGGAGGCAGGTTGACCGACACGTGTCTCTCGAGTATATGCAAGACTCACAAGTAGAGCGCAGCGCGTCAATAAGGTGCAATTTGGCTATCAACCGTGGCGAGACGGATACATGACCCGCTTCCGAAGCAGTCGAGGCACATGACCTCTGACGCCGCCATCGGTTCGAATCGTGTTCCCGCCAGGCGCGCCCCTCAAGTAGATGACTGCGCCGCCAGGATGACAGCCGTTGATCAATGGGGCCCCGCATGGCTCAACCAGCATGGCTTAGCCCATCACCAGACAAGGCCCCGCCACAAGCGAAGACTCCACGTCGCGCACACGTCCAGGCAGCAAGACGGGCCCGGGGTCGTGGACAAAAATCACAATCATGACACCACGGGCGGCACGGGTCCCGATCAACATAGCTCTCACATGAAAACACTGGTTGGCCCGCCGTAACACCCCGCGATGCAGAATTGGTCGACAGCGCGGAGCTGAGACGGTGACTGAAAATCGTTGACGCCGGCGCCTTTGCTACGATCCCCATCCTTTCCGACCGATCACCCCCCACGTGAGAGCAACATGGCTGCGGGCATGAAGACCATCATTGCGCTCGCCTTTTTCCTAGCACTTGGGATCTTCCTGACGATTCTGTCATGTGCGCTTTTCAAGTAAGCGGACATCGACATGCCTTTATCTCGCGATGCTGATGTCCAAGTAGGCTCAACTCACGCATATTTTCCCTATTGCGTCTTCTGTGTGCTCAGTAACTGGCTCCCCCTACTGGTGATCCTGCTTTTCTTGTTAGCGCCGTTTCCCAACCGTATCACTCGGAATATCGCGTCAGTGGATCCTTACTCTCTAGGAGCAGAGGAGTCAAAAGGTGCACTCGATACGGGCTACTTCATCACAAGTATGTTTCTCGTTTCGGGAATAGCCCTTCCGATGGTTCTCACGCATGCCGAAAAAATAACTTCGGGTGCAATGAATCTCGCCATAATGGGCGGCATTCTTGTGTATGGAACCATTGTTGGGTACATCCACTGCTTCCTCGAGCCTGAGGAATCAACCATCTGATCGCACATATTTTTCTATGATCATACGTGACAACGTATGCTCATATGTATAGGCCCATCCTTACCTAACACGCACACCATCCCCTCCATGGGCCACGCATGGGTCCCCCACAGAGGCAGTAGCGGTTCAGTGTCGGATGAGCTTGCTGACCACGGGCTGCAGTGGAGCTTGCCCGGGGATGCGGCACAGCGCCATCGGTCTGACGGGTAAGGCCAGGCAGTGATGGATGTTCAACGCGGCATTGCGATCGCGATCCACAAATTTGCCGTTCGTGGCATCCAATCATCATCCGACGAGTACGAGGCAGAGCGTCCAAGAACGATGACACAAGCAAAGGACAAAAGCAGCGCCTTGAGCCGTCTGAGAGATTCGAACTCCCGATCCTCGCCTTACAAGGGCGATGCTGTAACCACTTAGCCAAGACGGGCTTTTATCTTTTTGTTAGTGACCGCACGGTCACTAGGCACCCCGCCCGACCTGCGACCGAAGAGCCTCGCGACGGACCGGCCTTGCCGCCCACAGCCGTCCAAACGACTGCGCCATGCTGCTGGACGGCTGTCAAGCAGCGGAGTTGCCATCCACTGACCAGACTCCGCCATCAGCCGAGCCGCCTATCCATCCATCTATTTGTATCTCCCAACATCTGTATTCCCCTTACTGCACTCATATTATCTTCTCTCCGCCCAAACTTCATACTAACATATAAACCTCTCTACTGATCCTTCCCCTTCTAGCTCACCGTGGAGCTGTGTAGTTGTAAGTTCAATAGAGTTCGTATCGTCCCTAGCCTCAGAGCCCAGAGACGCCCAGCCTCAGACCGACAGACCGACCCACAGTACGCCCCACTAACATTTTTGTTATGTGGCGCCTTGT